GCACCTGGTCACAAGGACAGAAGGAGGGGTGAGCAGCACATGGAGGAGGACACGTCGACCAAGTTGGTTCACCAGGGCAGGGCAGGGCAGGGCAGAAGTGTCCGTGGAGCAATACACAATCGCTCCTCCTAAGAATGACACGTGTTCCGTAGCGCCTAATTCCAATCTCTTAGCCATGAAACAAAAAAGGGCTCTCATCTCGCTATCCTGATTAATAAACGCCTTCTGAGTATGCAGATTTATTTTTATTTTGTGAACCAAAAGTGAACCATAGTTTATCAACATCTCCTACAGAACTCCTATGTATCACTTTAACCTATCAGCACATATTTATACTTCTTTTTTGTTAACTCCACACTCAAAATGTTCCACAATAACCAGTAACAAGGAGATGGAAAATCTGTCCTGTAGAGCCAGGAGGAAACGATTTCACTGTGGGGTTCATTCGTGACTCCAAGATTTGGAGCATCTGACGTTCAGTCCTGCTTCCCGCACATGTGCGTGGGATAAAAGGACCAGCTGATACCTGGACGATCGAGCTTAAACGGGCTGTCCCCGTGGATACCACCGGAGTCACTGCCGAACGTCAGTCAGTGATGGGACTGCGACACTACCACGATATCACCGAAGGGGAGAGAAACTGCTGCTACTTCCCCTGAGCCTGTGTAACAAGTCATGAACAGCCCTGAGAGCAACCCTGTATCTCCTTCCGGAGAAGAAAAAGTGGCCTCTCTTGACCCGCAGGCACATTCCCTGTGGCTGGAAGTGGACACACCATTCTGTCCTCCCAGCCAACCCCGTGCAAGGACAAAATAAAAATCGGGCTTTGGGTTCAGAGTGGTGAAAACATTGGTGCTTTTCCCACCCTTGTTTCCAGGCATGGAAGAAAAAAGATAATGCAGGACTTCACCGACCTAGAATCTAAAATAAAAGAAAATCACTAAAAACCAGTAAGGCACACAGGGAATGCCTGCCAGAGACTTTTCCTTCCTCTGCACCCAAGCTGGCACTGTTCAAAGGGCTAGAAACAGACCCTGGCCTTCAAAATGGACAAAAGGAGGCAGAGACCCTGCCACTGCCCATTTTTAAAACTTATATTTTATCACGGTTCTTTTACAACCTGAAATGATGCTGCATGGCAGAACACCAAGGGCAGCACTGATGTGAAAAGACATAACAAATTAAGAATCGAATGTTTTTATAAACAAAATTGTGCTTTTCGACTTAGTTTGGAAAACTCGTAGCACAAATACACGCTCCATTTGCAAACAGAAGTGAGACCCATGGGGACTAGCAGTTAGCGTAGTGGCTATGTCGCTGGACTCCAACGTAGTCGACTGCGGTTCGCGTCTCGGACCCGGTGGCTTAAAACGCACGCTGGCGTGTGTGCGTGCGTGCCCAAGATCCCGAGAGGAGAATGGAGGAGAAGGGATTGCGGCGTGACC